CTATGTGACCAGCATCCAGGGCTCGGATACGGAGATGCGGTACGTAATAAGCCCACTAGGACATACACACTATTAGCATTGCACAACTTCCCTTCGGGGCCTGAGTTGCCAAATGCAAGTGTTCCACTCGAGTGCCTCGTTTCGATTGCGGAGGCACTTTGCATTTGATTTGGGTTTCTTGTTTGTTTGGCCATCGCTTCGCGTGATTCGACGAGGCCCATTGTAAACGCTATGTTTTAATACCATTGTCACATCATCCTCCATTTGGCTCTTGTGGATCACGCCGATTTCCCGCACAGTCATCCGAAACCGCCGCCCAAGCGCCGCTCCCTCTGGCCCCGTAAAAACATCGTGGCCCACTACATTGGCAAGGGAGACATCTTCGGCAACATGACTGCAGGTGAGTGCGACGGTTCCACTTGATCACCATCAGCTTAGGTGCTTTATTTGGGCAATAAAATGATTTAGTACCTTTGGCGCTGCCTTAGAGATCAATGAATCACCTGAGGTTCTTTAATTTAGTGCCATTACATTATATTACTGACCTAGATTAGGCTTTCTACAACCGTTTGGCTATATCTTATGCGCTTTATACTTTAACGTTTTAAAATAAATTTTTTTTTTTGAAAACATGTACGTTACCTTTCAATATTTACATTCATTTCTTAATTATGATAATTAAAATAAAATCATAAGACCAATAGCTTAAAAGATCTGGTAGCCGAGAGATTTGATGTCGCTTTTGGGGTACTACATATTAGAAAATTTACTCTTTTGGTGAACTAAAAAATAGGGATAGATACGTTTAATTTGAAAAATACTTTCCAATTCACAATGACCAGTAGCCAATGAAGTCGGTGAACCCAAGGTGCACCTTTGAGTAATCTCCGATGGAAAATAACTTAAAAAGAGTTTCCCACAAATGACACAACGTCGAAATGCATTAATATCCACTCGCTTGCAGACGATTACAACATCAACCTGTTCCAGCCCATCAACGGAGAAGGTGCCGATGGGCGACCTGTTGTGGTGCCGCCACGCGATCGCTTTCGCATGCAGCGCTTCTTCCGGCTGAACAGCTTCAACCTGCTGGCCAGCGATCGCATCCCGCTGAACCGCACCCTCAAGGACTACCGCACCCCGGAGTAAGTAGAATATCTTATATTTGTTGAATTCCTGTCTCATGAATTAATCTTGCCTTGCAGATGCCGTGACAAGAAGTACGCCAGCGATCTGCCCAGCACTTCGGTAATAATAGTCTTTCACAACGAGGCCTGGTCCGTACTTCTGCGCACCATCACCAGTGTCATTAACCGATCACCACGCCACCTGCTAAGGGAAATTATCCTAGTCGACGATGCCAGCGATCGATGTGAGTTACCACATGTTAAGGACTATCGGATTAAGTCCGAAGTATCTCACCTAGTTTATCATCTCATGAGCTCTACCTTTATTTCCTTAAGTGAAACTTTTTTAAAGCTAAACTAATTTTATTAACTTTTTTACTATCTTAGTGCTGCTTAAATCAGCAGTTGTCCGCTCTACCTTTCATAGTATGGTATTTGCAAAATTTAAAGATCCGAAACGTCTCTTATATTGTTGTTAAATTTTTTACAAAACACAAATTTGACGAAATAGAAAGCAAAATGAAAATAGTTTGAAACAGTAATGATGATTCATAATATAATTTTCTTATCTTTATTATGGAAGACAAAATGGTATCAGTAAGAAGCGTGCTAAACAAATGTTGTTTAATTGAATCACGTGTTGATTCATTCAGAGATTAATTGACAAATGTAACTAATCTGTTGTTATCCTCAGTATTTAACTTAATAAGAACGATATGTGGTGTTCCCATGCTTAAAATTCGGACTTTAGCCTTTAAAACTTAAAGAAAATACAGCAAATTTTAATTTATTTTATTCATTGGATATATTTCCAATCAAATTCTGTACTAATTTGCTTATTTTCTCTTAAAAGCTTATTTAAAGCGGCAGCTGGAGAGCTACGTGAAAGTTCTCTCGGTGCCCACAAAGATCTTGCGGATGAAGAAGCGCAGTGGCTTGGTGCCTGCCCGACTCATGGGCGCAGAGCAGGCTCGCGGCGACGTGCTGACCTTCCTGGACGCCCACTGCGAGTGCTCGAGGGGATGGCTGGAACCACTCCTCTCCCGCATCAAGGAATCACGCAAGGTGGTCATCTGCCCGGTAATCGACATCATATCCGACGACAACTTCAGCTACACAAAGACATTTGAGAACCACTGGGGCGCATTCAACTGGCAACTGAGCTTCCGGTGGTTCTCCTCGGACCGTAAACGCCAGACGACAAACAGCAGCTCCAAAGACAACACTGCACCAATAGCCACGCCCGGAATGGCCGGTGGACTGTTCGCCATCGACCGCAAGTACTTTTACGAAATGGGATCCTACGACGCCAACATGCGTGTCTGGGGCGGCGAAAATGTAGAGATGTCCTTCCGCATTTGGCAGTGCGGTGGTCGCGTTGAGATCAGTCCCTGCTCCCACGTCGGCCATGTGTTCCGCAGCAGCACACCATATACGTTTCCCGGCGGCATGAGCGAAGTGCTTACGGATAATTTGGCGAGGGCAGCTACCGTGTGGATGGACGACTGGCAGTACTTTGTAATGCTCTACACATCCGGACTGTCGTTGGGGGCCAAGGAAAAGGTGAATGTGACGGATCGCGTGGCGCTTAGGGAGAGACTGCAGTGCAAACCCTTCTCCTGGTATCTGGAGAACATTTGGCCGGAGCACTTCTTCCCGGCCCCCGATCGCTTCTTCGGCAAGATCATATGGCTGGACGGAGAGACGGAGTGCGCCCAGGCCTACAGCAAGCACATGAAAAACCTTCCTGGTCGCGCTTTGTCAAGGGAGTGGAAGCGCGCGTTCGAGGAGATTGAAAGCAAGGCAGAGGAGTTTCTGGCGCTAATCGATCTGGAGCGTGACAAATGCCTGCGGCCCCTCAAAGAAGACGTACCGCGCTCCTCGCTCTCCCCGGTGACTGTTGGTGACTGCACATCCCACGCCCAAACGATGGACATGTTCGTGATAACCCCGAAGGGCCAGATCATGACCAACGACAATGTATGCTTGACCTACCGACAGCCAAAGCTGGGCGTGATCAAGATGCTGAAGAACCGCAACGCCACCACCTCGAACGTGATGCTGACGCAGTGCGCTTCCGACTCCAGTCAATTATGGACCTACGACATGGATGTAAGTTGCTTATTATTACGAGAATATCTTTGTTATAACTATATTCCATCCACAGACCCAACAAATCTCGCACAGGGACACAAAACTGTGCCTAACGCTCAAATCGGCCACCAATTCGCGTCTTCAGAAGGTCGAGAAGGTAGTGCTCAGCATGGAGTGCGACTTCAAAGACATCACCCAGAAATGGGGATTCGTACCACTGCCATGGCGCATGTAGATTAAAGGGTGCCAAGCCAGTGCCAGGACATTATATCCAATAACCCTGCCAGCAACTCTTTAACGCAATGTGATATTTATTGAAATTGTTTAACGAAATTCACTCGTTGTTTTGTTTTTGTAAACAAGTAACCAACCCACAAGCACACAAACACCAGACTAATCGCCTGGTTCCACTGATACGTTTTCTATTCTAACTGCATGAATCCAAAATTGGTCTTGTGTAACGATGGAGAAACATGTTCCAGTCGAACCAGGCTTCACCAATCAATACACCGATACAGACCCACATGAATTGTTTTTAAAACACTAACTGAATGCGTGGGAGAGCTTTTCTCTCGCCACGCATTGCGACTCTATAGATCTAGATAGCATGGTACAATGCTATATCTACGTCATATTTATTAAGCAAGTCTTAGGTAATTTTTAGCTGTACTTACTACCTTCGAAATTACTTTTTTATATCACTTGAATAAAGCAACAGAAAGTAGAAAGCGTCGCTCCAATCTGTTTCTCTTTCGATGGCGGCTTATCGCTGGCCCCTGGGAAAGGTCGCGATGCAATTGCTTTAAATTTGGCGCATCTGCCTCCGATTGCAGCACTCTCACGATGAACGGCTGCTATAACACAATAAAATACACGGGCCTGCTCTCCAATCTGCTCTATATGGTAAGCCTGAATCTTGAGTCCTATAACTGAACGGTTAATAATCTTTGGACTTTCAGCTTTTGGGCATAGGAGTGATGTCTGGAGCAGGATTGGGGCTGCAAGTGGCGGAGCCCAACACGCCGGAACACACGTACTTTGTTAAGAGTCTGGTGCTGGGCGGAACCATCTGCATGATCGTGATGTTCGGATGCTACGGCATGGTCTGCAACTTGCTCTGCGTCAATTTGATTGTAAGAGAAACCTTGCATTGGATACCCAACCGCATAGCTGAGTGAATTTCTATATCCGCAGTTCACAATGTTCATACTGATTGCTCTGGCAATGGAATACCTTCAGCTGCACCACTACCACACTCCGTCCCTCAAGAGCTCGAGTGGCGCCTGGCAGCAGCTGGAACTGGCCTGGCATGGTCTGGACAGGGATCCGGAGCTGATGCACCAGTACGAGGCCTCGCGGCACTGCTGCGGCTACAACGGCGCCGACGATTACAAACGCTTGCATCTGCTGGTGCCGGCGAGCTGTTATCAGGCCACTGCCAACGACACCGCCCAGCAGATCTACCCAAGCGGCTGCTTGGAGACGCTCAACCATAGCCAGCGGTACATACAGCAGCGCGATAAGCTGTACATGTGGGCCATCGTTGGCCTTGAGGTGGGCAATTGACTTGGGGCTGCAGTTTCTCGAATCTTGAATAACTCTCGACCTCCTCATCCGCAGATCTTCATACTGCTGCAAACGGTGGCACTCAGTGTGCTGCTCTTCAAGCTGCGGCAGCGGCAGCGAATCGCTCGCAGACAGGTGCCACCAGGTGTGCGGCGGGAACCGCGTTCTAACCATGTGTCTGCATCACGAGCCCAGCTACTCCACGACGCTTAATTTAAGATCTTATCAAATGTGCTTGTTTATTGTACAGCCAAGTGGCAAATGCTTATGTATAAATATCATGTGTGATCAGTAGGTGTAAAGACGAGTCTTGCTGGTCAACTGGCAGCATAAGGTGATGCCCAAGATGATGCCCACGACCTGTAATGGAGGAAGGAATGTGTTAAGATTCATTCTAGGTCTATCAGCAATATAATTATTTTTTACTATAAAAATGTCTTTAAATATTGATAGCTTAACAGATTTTGTTACTTATTCTCGGATATTAGTAGAAGTCGGATTTGTGCATTTTATTTAAACGATTTTAATAGATTTGCCTATAAAATCATTATTAGTATAAAGCATAATCTAATTTTGGTTTTGTAAAATTCAAATTCATATAAAATCAGTCTAGATATTAGTATCAAAACGTGAGTTTAAAATTTAGGCAAAACTTTTAATAGCCTAAATATGATAATGATACAATCAAGTTAAAGAACTGGTTTTGTTGGACTGACAAGGGCGTCCGGATTTTTTAAAGATATGTATTCTATATTTTATGATATATTAAAAAGTGATAACTACAGTTTCATCAGGTTTAAGAACGTGATGGTTTTCTCACCTCGTAGCAAATCAGTCCGATGTGGGCCCACTTCTCGTACCGGTAGATCTTCAGGTATGCTTTCTGCACGGCATCCATGCAGCCATTCCCATAAGGCAACAGGGCGTGGATCCCGTCCTTGTTGTGGTAGCAGCTGCGCGGTATCTCCATGTTGAGGCTCTTGTAATCCGAGGGGCCCTTGTCGCCACAGCACTCGTACTGGGAGATGAAAAATAATAATATAATAATAAATAAGAATCGTCGGGACCATAACCGAACAGGGACCCACCTCCTGCTGCAAATGCTTCATGGGTCCCGGATGAGCCAGCTCCTTCATCCAGAGATCCATCACGTACACCTCGGTGGCGTCCAGCTGTTTAGTCTCGTTGTGGTGGGACACTTTCCAGATGTGCAAGACTATCAGAACCAGCAGCACACTCAGGTTCTACAACCCAGGCATCCCATGTAGTTCCCATCAATCGACAAATCATCTGTTCTTTGGCTACTCACCACCACCATCACCTTGATGGAACCGAGTATGGCGCCCATGCAGCCGATCAATCCGGCCAAGATCAGGGCCCCTGCCATGCCCAGTTGCACATACTTATCGACATGCTCCGTGGAGCCATCGTTGTACTTATCCAGCTCATAGACTCCGGCCAGGACCGCCAGGATCCCAACGATCTGCATGGGTAGTAAAATTATGAATTATGCCTGCGCATTTTAAGCGTTTGTTAATGGCCCATGAAATGGGCAAACAAAATCTTCAGCGACAAACTTTCGTCTCGTGGCCGACGTCATCGGAACAACCAAAATAAAAACAAAACTGGCGTAAAAATAAATTAAATTACTTTGGGCTTTATTTTTAAATGGCACATACACAGTTTCCTTTCTTGTTGCTGTCGTTTCGATTGTGCCGAAAATTCGGCTGCCCAAGAAAAGTGCGGTGAATGAAAACGAGAGCCGAGTGACATCTTGTCTGGTGGCTATGGAAATTTCGATTGGGATTTGTTGGCTGCCAAATTGGCCAGCTACTCGGACAACGCACAGAAATTAAAATCGACAATGAAAAATGCTACTATGTAAAACACTTAATGATCTTGCTTTGACAGGCTGCAAGCGAATCGAGATTTCCATGAGCAACTGTCGCCATTACTCATACGCAGTGTGTGACTCAAGAAGTGCAAGTGACAACTGTTGCATTGACATCATCTACAATGAGTGCCCGACCTTTGACTTGTGTTTTCCAGGATGGATCATGGAAAGATTTCTGGAGCGGAATGAGTAATAGCACTTGTACCTCCAGTAGAAATCCCTTACCAAGGTGATTGTACTGAAGACAACCGAAGTCCATTGCAAGCACACGCGAATCGTGGGCATTTTCCTATTTGCATAAGCAATACTTTTCTATATTTTATCAGTTTTGTTCAACACTCGTGCGAGCAGCGACTCCAGGCAGCGGACGCGTTTCCCGGGAAAATTCGCTTTCCACTCTCGACCGACTGTGCGTGGCGGTGACCGAACCGTTAGTGCCGTCGGATCGGGCCAAAATAAAGCGAAACACGAAAAAAGCGCTAAGAAGCTGCGAACTGTTTACAAATCCGCCGAGTGGCCGTCCGTATCCGTGTCCGTGTCCGTCTCGGTCGCCGTTTTGGCGCTTTGTGTGTGGGTCATTACTCAGGAGACCGGCGTTCACCAGATCTCATCGGTGCCCCGCGTCTTCCTCCCTACACACTAAAAAAATTACTATGAGGTTTTCTCCAAAGATTTATAAGCCTTTCCTATTTCTTTTCCATCTTTCTGTTCTAGAATCAGATGATTGTAAACATTTCTTACGGTCAAAATAAAATAAACTTAAAGTAAGTCATACCAAATCCAACCAATTATTGTTGGGAACCGTACCATTGAAACCCTGAAATTTCAATCGATTTGTTTCGTATAATAATTTTTTGTAATTAATAGAATGTTTCATTGAAATGCTATTTTTAGTGAAATTATCATTTTAAAGATCTTTTAATGTTACACCTGTTATTACGAGTATAAATATACCTAGCCACCATAATAAAAATGAAAGTATTAGTTTTGTAAACTTTACTATCATCTTAAATAAAAAAACAAGGAAGAACGCTATAGTCGAGTACCTCGACTATCAGATACCCGTTACTCAAAGGGAAATGGAGATATGCAAGCAGCAAAGCGAAATTAAAATGCGCCACCTACCGGCGGTAGACAGATTTAAGCGTTATGGGCGTTAGAGTGGGCGTGGCAAAATTATTTTTGGATCAATCGATAGGTATTGACGAGACCAATACATTTCAGTTAAAATTTTAAATCTAGCATGAAAATTGTGGGCGTCACAGGGTTTTGCGGTTTGTGGGCGTTAAAGTGGGCGTGGCAAACTTTTTTTTAGGTCAATCGATAGGTATTGATGAGAACAATACATTTCAGTTAAAATTTTCTATCTAGCATCAAAACTGTAGGAGTTACAGTTTTGGGAGGTTTGTGGGCGTTAGAGTGGGCGTGGCAGTCTACTGAAACAAACTTGCGCTGCGTAAGAAGCTCAGGAATCTGTACGCCAAATCTCAATAGCCTAGCTCTCATAGTTTCCGAGATCTCAGCGTTCATCCGGACGGACAGACAGACGGACAGACGGACAGACGGACAGACGGACATGGCTAGATCGACTCGGCTAGTGATCCTGATCAAGAATATGTATACTTTATGGGGTCGGAAACGCTTCCTTCTGCCTGTTACATACTTTCCGACGAATCTAGTATACCCTTTTACTCTACGAGTAACGGGTATAATCAATAAAAATAAAAGATTTTTTTTGCATTAAGTCACATACATCATTTATAAAATTCTTCAAAAACATTTCTTTAAGTGTATGAAATGTTTTCATATATTTTTATATGCGTCTTTATAGGCAGACATATATCTACTTAGCAGATCCGCCGATATCTCACATATAGTGGGCACAAACAACACTTATTGAATATTTTGATTTTGGTTTATTTTTTATTCTACGTTTCTGTTGCCTCCAGATCATCTAAAACTGATATATAAAAATCCATACATATTGGTTTATGTGTTTCCAACAACCGATTTCGGTGATTCGTAGGAGACCTGTTAGAATCTCTCGCGCCGCAATTTGTTGCGCACCGTGATGCCCAAATGGGTGGCGGCTCCCAGGGCGGCAAACTGTGCGGAGATAGCGAAAAATTTGATTAGAGCCCTCCCCTCTATATCTGGAGTCTATTAATGTGGCCCGCCCTTGGCCACCCGATCCCCCGAAAGAATGTGGCCAAGGCCGCCGTGGAACTTACCTCCACCAACAGCAGCAGCCACTTGATGATGAGCCCGACGGCCACGTTGTCGGTGGCATGAGCCTGCACCGCCTGCAGGCAGCCCTCGGTGAAGAGGTAGTCTCCGTGGCGCTGGAACGCCTTGTAGCAGTTATTGGGTATAGCCCGACCCATCAGAATGTAGTCATGGGCGCCCAACTGGCCGCAGCAAGAGTACTGAAATGACATGGAAAACATAGTCAGTTGGCAAACAAAAATGTGTGATAATATCGAAGATTACTTTTGAATGTAGGCATTTAGGGTTTGTATGTCTTAATAAACTTAATTTTAGCAATTAGGGGTGGTATGTCTTTATAAAGTGCCTATAGAAAACGTTGAGTCTATTATAAAACATTAACTTAATAGCTTTGTATAGCAAACACATCTATTAATATATGATTTTACTGAAATACAAAAACATTATGGACCCCAAAACGCAACGATTTATGGGAGCGATAGAGAAGAGTCCCAGAAATAATATCGTTTCTAATAGAACTTCCGAAAGTCAGGTTGTTTCCAGGATCCACATTTGCGAAAGGCTTCCTAATACATGGATATATCGTTTCGTCTTGTCTCGATTCTGATTTTGATAGGTAAATTCCATATACCTTCTATACATTTTTTATACACCAACTAGAGATTAGCATACCTTTTGTTCAATGAGCGATATGCGTTCTGCATTGGCCTTTTGATCGGCCCATATGGCCAGGAAGTCCCTCTTAGAGCGCTCCACGTAGTCCGTGGAGTGGGCTGCTGCAATGATGTAGATCTGCAGGCACAGCAGGATCAGCAGGCAGATCACATACTAGCAGGGAATATGAAATGGTTTAAAATCTGAACGGTCCTTTCTACTTTACACTTACACTCCAAACGAGGCCGAGGGAAACCCGAGCCGTGGCAAAACAGCCCAGAAACGAGGTCAGAACCACGAAGGTGCCCACGAAGATCTGGACAACGATGGCGATGTGCTCGAAGGTGCCCGGCGTAGAGCTATTTAACTCGTACACGGACAGGGCAATCAGAGTCACTCCAATCAGCTGCCAATAAAATAACATGGATTCCATCGATTGAGGTCCTACGATCCTATGTTATATATACATACCGAAAGCAGCACATTAAGTATGATAAGAATGGCTTTGATGAACGATTCGCGGCAGGCCATGTTTACCAATCAATAAACCCTATAATTAACAACTGCGTTATCCTTAGTCCGCGCACCTGTTTTCCACTGCGATGACCACGGGAAAAGCGAATGCCTCAATGAAAACCGCCGGCCCTGTTCCCATAAAAGTTGACGTGCGACTGAGCGCAGCGCTTTCTATTTGAAATATGGCGCCCCCAAAAGCGCCAGTTAGTATGTAGGTTCCACCACTCGACAGAAATCAACTATTCCGCGGTGGTTCTAGATGATACACTTGAAGAAAAATGTACAAGGGAGCCTCTTTCTAATTTATTAAGATCTGTACTGTCTTTTAATACAAAATTTTCGTAAACAAATGAATATTCTTTTTTTTTATAAAAGTCTAGTTTAAGCTAAAACAATATAATAAAAGAAATAACTTTAAATAGAACAATCAGTTATAATAATCGAATTGACCGTTCTAACTTTATCAATAATCGACAAAATAAAAAAATATTTTTTGAAAAATTTATTACAGGGTTATATTTTGATATATAAATTTGATATTAACATTGGAACTTTATTTTTGAGAAACAAATAGTTTTTACGATCAAAATAAAAAGATTTAGGTTTAATCGAATATTTTTGAAAATAAATTCTTTTGTATGTTGCCATACCACTTTGTAATATAATTTATTAATTTAACAGGACCCATTTTAATATTCATTTCCGACTTCTGCAGTATATGTTACTTTTTCAAATCAGACTTTGACAGTACTTAGTTCCCTTTTCTGCTAAGTGTACTTACATATATCATTATTGCGGCGGTTTTATGTGGTGGTATCATGGCTTCTTGTGGGTGGTATGATGTCACAGTGGCGAAAGCTTTCATCGTATTTCCGTCATTAAGGAGTGGGAAGGGGCCAACGAATATTGAGCTTTCATTCATCGGAGTGCGCAGAAAAATATATAAGATGAAAGGACATCGTTGAGGGATTTATGGGCAGCCTACTTATTCACCCGCAAACTTGTATGCCAAGCATTTAGCGCATTACGTGACGAGCAACAAGTTGTCTGGCCCTGAAAGACGTAAAACCAAAAGTTTCGGTCATCTAAAGCTCGTCGGGACTATGCGTCGTATGCTTAATATTCCCATCGCTCTGAACAAACAAACAAACTGACAAACAGAAAATCATGTGAAAACAAACATCGCGCACATTTATTAAGATACTTATAATGTGTAATTGAACTATAAATATGTACTTTAATTACAGGTATGTTTACGGTAGGAGTGAATAATTTATGACTGTCCATTATTTTTGGTTATGAAATGAGAGACCTCAATTCCGAGTTTGAGTTTTTGTACTACGGGGTTAGGTCGAAATTCCCTCGAGTTCCTCTTAGAACTCCATGCGCCGCTGCTTATTCTTAAAACTAATTGCCAGGAAAACGGCCAAGGCGAAGCAGATTAACTGAAAGGATATAAGAAGGTTATAGTGTATTTGAGATTACACTAAGTTTTAAGAAAACCCACCTCAAAGGCCACCAGAACCCAGGAGACTATGATGAAGCGCAGCTTGTCGCTCTCATAGAAGCTCTGCAGCTTCTCGATGCACCCCTCCAAGAAAAGATGGTCGGGAACCTGTTTGAGATCTGCATAGCAGCTGGGCGGGATCTGCTGGCTGAGGTGGATGTAGTCCTGGGCGCTGCTCTTGCCGCAGCACTCGTGCTTCTGCTGCAGTGCGTCCATGTTGTTGGCCTGCCAGGCCAGCTCTACCACCTCCTGACCGCTCTTCGCTTCATACTGGTGGAGGAACAGGACGGTGCTCACGATCTGCGGAATGGCCAGGATCAGCAGGAACACGGCACTCTGGGGAATAGAAATTATCTTGAATTCAGATTGATTTTCTCAATTAAATTAACTCACCGTTGCTGTCAGAGCCACCGATTCCCGGATGGCCGCAAAGATGCCCAGCAAGGCGAATACCAGGATGACCGAGCACGCTATGTAGGCAGCTATGACGAATTCTTCGGTCTCCGTATCCGCATTAAAGGCAATCCATCCCATAGCCCCGGCCGCCAGAAACTGAAATTATTACAGTAAAACTTAAGTAGGTCGAATGTATTTTATAGATCGTTAAAAATTCGATGACAATAGGGCTTAGAAATGAATGTAAAAGAAAGTAAAAGATAAAATGTAGGTTTTATAAGAGCAGCTTTATCTATTAATCGAATCAAATGACTCAAACCTTGAACCATCATGAACAAAGGTTTTTGATAACAAAGGTTGGGTTTTTATGGATTTCGAACGTTTTGTACTTAACGATTAAAGTCTCTTTGTTAATATAACATATATTTTTTAGGGTTTTCAAAATAAATAGTTATTTTTGTGTTAGGGAAGATCGCCTGTACCATATGATACGCTTGCAGTTGCAATTACAAGGGCAATTGCCATTCATTTGTGTGACAATTAACAGCCGCAGTTGAGTGCATCACATAATTTGTCGTTCGGGAAGTTCCCGCTCTGAGCTGTGATAATGTAATGAACCCTCCCTTTGATACCGATTCCCTTAACCGCCCCTTCGGGGGTTGTTCGTGCCCCAGTTTCGGGGCCCTCCCTTCCCGGGACTCTAGTGATTCGATTTCGCTATATGGGTCAGAGTGTAAACCAGAGTGCGAATATTGGTCGAGGGTACGTGGGCATGACATCATCCTGCGGGAGCGGAAATTGGAGCAATTGAAGGCTCTGGCGAAAGTCGGACAGCAGGGAACAGTCCAAAATGTAAACACGGCTGTCATGGCAACCAGAAAACCAGACGGGTGGTATCGGCGGGTGGATATATAGGGGAATATTTTGGCCACCTTGAAGTCGGGCCGTCTATCTCAGGTGTGCACGAAACGGACTAATGACACACATGACGCTTAAAAATACACACCCAAAGAACGCAAAATATCTCAAGCGAATGAATATTTTGAAAAATATTCTCTTTACGACTGTGTGCTCTTCAAAACTATATGGTATAGAATACTATATTTCAAAAATATTCCATTTAGAGGCTCTTTTAAAGTGCGTTTACTTGTGCACCCGTCCCACATGACATCATGCTAATTTCCTTGCACGAAACATGGCTATATATCCACAATACAATATTTATATATATCTGATGTGGTCGAGGTAATTAGTAGTCCATGTATGAAGATGACTTACCCCTAAAATGGCATTCAGAACGATGGAGGTGATCTTAACGCTGGTCGTGGCGCAGCCCATGTTTGTGGAGCTGAAAAACATGTTCAAAGTGCATTAAAAATCCATTCCCAAATATCCGAAAGCACTTGATCGTTTCTCAAATAAAAGTCTGTTAACCTCTTGACTTCTCTCGCCGCACACGAATATTGTTTGCCTTTGTTTGTTTATTTGCGTTGCTTTGCTGGATTTGAATTAACAACCAAATTTGTTTCCGCTTAACGTACGCCCGGGATATCCGCTCTCGAAACTGAACTTTTGGGTCTGGCACGTTCTGCGTTCGCTGGCGAACTGAAAGCGGGAAAACTTTTTGTTGTTCTCTTTCCCCACGGCGGTTTGTTTCTTCCCCAATCAAAATAACACTGAAAGAGAGCAGTCTCTCTCCGAAGAGAGCCCTGCACTTGGGGTCAGCGCTCCAAGCCATGACGTCACTCCGAAATGCGTTTCTTTTGAGTGGTGCTTTTGTCGGAGTAAATATGAGAATTGGTGAAAGATGGGGAGATTCGGTTATAAGCAATTAACAAATGAAACTTCACTTTGTATCAAAAATTCCGTTCCATGAAATCAATAAATGCGACTTTACACTGCTATGTGTTTCATTACGTGGTGCTTTTATCGCAGACTTAAGTATCTTACGAAAAAACATGGTGAGAAATAGAATAGATTCGGTTATAGGCAATTAGTAAAATGAGAGGCTATCAGCACCGAAATCAAGAAAATCACATCCATCTCTTGATCGAAGATTAAACAATACATTTATCAAATTAATATTTTTGTATTAAAGCTACTAGAGATTATACTTCGAATTCCAAGAGGTTTTGAAGTACTCCTTTCTAAGATTTAGGATTGTTAAAATCTGCGTCTTAAATCCCAAAATCATATAATCTGTGGGATCCGTTCATACCCACAGCCAGACGATCCAGACTATATTAAGCCGACTTCTACGATTGACGGGTGTACAAATTTCAACAATTGAACTAACATACAAATGTTGTAAAATTTCCATTATTAGTTTTCAATTTATTAAAGTCAGAACAGTAATGTTATTTATTTTCAAACCGGTGTACAAGACACTTCACTTAAATTAAAACAAAATGAAAAATGTTGTTTTAGAAAGTATGCTACACAAAATGTTTTATATACCCCCTTACAATTTAATCCTGGATCCGCCACTGGTTCATATAAACAGATTTGTATTACCGGCTTTTGACATCTGAAACTGTAAGCTGATGCTTGTTCAATAATTACTCATACAGTCCCCAATCTTGACTTTCGGTTTCTCTTTCGATACTACGTCTCATCTCTCTAGATTGTAAAGGCGGATTGTTTACGAGTTTGTTTATGGTTGTTATGTCTGGGGTCGAGTATTCCCCTCATTTCCAGTCGAATTCCCCAATTTCTTCCACACCAATATGTATTATACATGCGTATTCAAACCGATGTAAATAGCGAGGAGGCGTCATTTCAAGCTTTATTATGTTTGTCTCTGGCTTAGTTTCCTATTCATAGCATTATGCATACACCAGCCCACCAGACTTTCGTTTGCGCAACTGATTTGATGAGCTTTCTAGTGGGCAAAACCACTTAACAATGATCATTTTTGGACAAAATATCTCTGTAAGACATTTTTTAGATTTGAATAATAGAAAAATCATATCAAGTAAAATTATTCAACAGTTTATGTAATTTAATTTAAGCAAGGAACACGAAAAGGTTTTTAAACTATATATTTTGGATAATATATATTTTAAATAATCCAGTGCCAAGCCAAATCTACATCGCTTATCTATTACTTAGTATAAAACATGAAATGTACATGCAATGTAACCTAGCCGAAAATAACTTAAAGCTTGAATAAAATTGTTTTAAAAAATGTTTTTTTCTCTCCAGGACCTTGCGGAAATAAACAAAGCCTTCCATTAGTTGTAACTTTTCTTTTATTTTATATTTGGTTTTTATTTCTTTCAAAACAACATATTTAATAATTTAAGATTTGACGGTATTATATGTAGCACGAATTAAAACATGTTCGACTTTTTTAAAAAACTCTAATTCTTGTATTTATTTTTAAGGCACTTTCCTTTGCTTGGCAAGTGAGACTATTTTTTTTTGGATAGAAAAAAGGTACATTAGTGACGCTTAAAAATGAGAGAAGTGAGGAGATGTATATCTTAATCGGTAAATATTCACTAATAGTTGTATCGCCTCTGGCGATTTGTGTAGTGAATGGCCAAGACGGCAGCCAGCAGGAGGATGACAGCCTAAAAAGAAAAAAAAGTAAGTAAACAAATATTTCTTTCAAAGTGCAGAACAAAACAATACGCACATCGAATCCGAGTAGGCCCCACTCAAAATAGCTCAATGTGGATTGTTCATCCTCGAAAGCCTCCTCCACTCTGCTGAGGCAGCCCTGCACGTAGAGATTCAGGGGATTCACACAGCTGTCGTTCTTGCAACAGCTATTGGGTACCGTGTTGTTCCAGAATTGGTTATTCAGATAGTCCCGGGGACTCTCGCGCCCACAGCAAGAGTACTGAAAAACACGAATTATATAAATTAAAATTTAAATATAATACGCCTTCTCCAGACATCCTATATTCTTACCATCCTCTGAATATAATCCATACTGCCCGGCTCATTCTGCTCCTTTTCCCAGTGGGTCTCAACAGTTTGCAGAGCGTATTTCTTGAACACATCTCTGGGACTCAGGAACATAAAGGCCACTGTAAGTACCAGCAATACCAGAAGCAGTGACACATACTGCAAGCAATTAAAATGAGTTACTCATGGTACGATTCACCTAATTGCATCATTCAGGCAAGTACCGTCCACAGCATGCGCGGCGATTCGCGAACAGCTCCAAAGCATCCGAACAGAGAAGTCAACAGGATAATGCCGCCGAGGACCAGGATTCCGATGGCATACTGATCTGGCATCGCTCCCCAGCCGAGACCGGCAAAAACGAGCACAAGGATGCCAAGTATCTATAAGTATGGCAGACAAATTAGATAAGTAAGATACAAATACGCCCATCGAGCAAATTAATTCAATGATATATATTTGGGGCGTTACCGATAAGCAAGTTACTGTAGAAACGTTAAAACCATATATTTAAAAGGCGGTTCTATTGTATGTCATTTCTCCAAGACAAAGGCCTGTAAAGCTTCTTCAAAAAAAATTTAGGTTGAAGATCTAATTCAGCAAATCAATTGATTTGTTTTATATTGAAGAAAGGTTATAACTTATAAGATAAGTTATGGAGTAGATAGAGATTTTTATAAGGGTAGTATATAATGTGTAGCTAAATACAAATTGGCTTATTGTATTTTAAGTACACATGTTGAAAATGAAATTTATTATAATGTCTTGTGATTATGCTAACATATGACCTCAGACCTTTGCAACCTTGAAAAGTCCATAGAAAGTTTTGATGCATACTCGCGACGACTAATTTGTCGGCTTGGTCTCATCGCTATTGTCACATACAGGTTTCCATATTCCGTTCGTATTAGCTTTTTGAACGAAATCCAAATGCATGACGCATTTAAACAGTCTCGTTTAGCCGCTTGGCTAATAAAGCTCTCCTCTTGGCTCAAGGAACCCAAAGACCGAGCAGAAACCATTAACAATAGACACTGGCTTACACACACAGATAGCCGCGAAATGTAGTCATAGACCAAACACGCAGCTGAGATGATATCATCTACTGACCAAGTGAACGTATGCCTGGCAACATAGAACCCAAAACACCGATGTTTTCCAAACAAAGTTCAGACACCATCGCAATTAGCTAGCTATTTGTGGAAACAAACCGGCAGATATAGCACTCAGTCTCTTAAAGTACCAGCACCATATGCCAATTTCAATTTGGTGCTCTACTTACCGCCCATAACGCATTAAATAGGAACAGCGAATACTTTAAGGTGCCCGTTGCGCAACCCATTTTTATGTATTTTTTTTTATTTTTCACTTAAAATTGAAATCTTAAGTTAGAATCCAATCAAAACGCAATGCAACACGTGCAGCAGATAGCTTTTCGGCGGGTAATTTTTAAAATATCGAGATTCTATCGACGAGACCGAATCTGTTAAAGAGTGCGGACTACTCCGGCCACGTTCACGAGCAAACTGAGCTCCCCGAAAACTCTCTCGCACGAAATCCGATCCAAGTTGAGGTCTCCGAAGCTCCAAAGCTGCCGTCACTGCACCATGGGGCAACCGCAAAACTTTTTCTGTCCAAATATATTTTTCAAAAGACATTAAAATAGCTCGATTTTTATGAGCGTTACTTTAGAGTTCACAGAGAAAACTATCTAAGAACATTGTTCTTGAATTGAGCACATTGTTCTTAAATTGAGAACTTTGTTCTTGAAACCGTGTAAGTACATTTTGGTATCAATATAAGAACGAAATGGTGAGAAGAGAAAAGTTAAATTGAGTTTATCTAACAACTTTTTGATAAGTATACACTAAGGACTGAACTAATAGTTTATTTGTACATACAATTTACTTAAATACCGCCAATTCAACTTGATTGGAGCAAAATAAAAACATTTTCAACTTAAAAATGTCGTTTTATTTTTAAGAACATTTTCAACTCAGATTAGAACGTCAGAATTCTCTCTGTGTAGGAGTACACTTCCATTTTCCTATAATATTTTCAATTTGTTATCATAAGTTCATTAAAAAAAGTCTGTAATTATTGCTTTGTACTCAAATGTGTAAGGTATGCCACAAAAAGTGGTCGTTTGCCCCACTATACACAGTTGCCGTCTAGCAGTGTTTGTTAAAACAAACAAAAACAGCAAAGGCACACAAACAGCATACAGTAAAACCAGAATAACTGAACCGCAATCTCGAAACTACACCACTATTTTAAAAAATATTTTAGAACTTGTTGATAATTATATATATACATATACAATATTTAAATATTTGAATACATTAGTGGTTTGCAAGCAATCACATAAGCTTATCAGCTTCAAAACGCCTTTATACTGACAGAAAAATAAAATTTTAATTTTGTTGTTCGATATTTTTGTACTTTTAAAACTAATTTTGTGAGAATTATACATCATGACTTAAAAAATCCCCATGTATGTACGATTTTTCTAAACTTGTAAGATTAAACAATTACAATTAAACAAAGAATTTAAAATACCGTTTTTTTTAAAATGAATGTTTATAATCTAAGTAATGTCAATTTAATACGTATTTATTCAAAATACAAATTAACTTAGTTCCCAAAATATTCGATAGTCTGTTTCCTAATAAAAAAACTCAACTTAGGGAAGTTCGTCTATACTCGGAGTAGGCAAACGCTTTGAGCAAAGTCAAAAGGCAAAGGCAAAAAAGAAAATTGAAGGTGGGGAACGAACTCTAGTGCTGTTGCTGCCATTCGGAAGCCAAACAAACAGAAAGTGAGGTGGGGAAAGCTCGAAGCGTGGAGCTGGTTATGCTTGACAGAACTGAAATGATATTGAAGTTGGGGGTAAGCTCTATATAGCTCCATTTGCCAGATGTTTAGCTGGGGTCTGTGTGCTATCGACAGGGGACTCGGTCTCATCGGTAACCCTCTCCCCCAGCAATTTACCAGCGATCGGATTTTGTGGGATTGATTCAGCTTGATTGCGTCAGACGACTGACAGTCAATGACGCCACCGCTGGCAAATCAAGAGATTAGCTCAGTCTTCAAAGCCGTAATGGGAACCTAACGTTTTCGCTTAAAGATTAGTTGAATAATCGAATAGCTGAGCTTTGTTATTCTCGAGTTCTCAAAAATAATTGTATTTCGTTTGTATTTTTACAGATAATAGAATAGGATAAGTCGTTTCCGATCTTAAAAAGTATACAAATTGTGAACTAAAAACAACAGTCGAATGTAAGCATCGAAATGCTCCCTTCATTCCCGGAATTCCATAATGAAATACGTTTGCTTCCGAAATATCTGCAGATAAATATCTGCAAGTATCGGTGTGTAAGTATGATGTTATTATTACTTCTCTGTAGTTCGTATAAAATTACGCAAGAATATTATAATGGATTCCAAATGCATTCTTTTCGACCGAATCCGAAATCAGTCTTTAGTAGCTGTAGCGAATGCGCTGCTTGCGGAATCGTCCGACCAAATAAAAGGCACCAAACACCATGAGAACCTGTGAAAAAACAAACTGATGAGATCCCTCCAAGTATAAGATCACTTTTACATTGAGCTTACAGTTATGACCACTGCCATCCAGTTGGAGTCGTTTGCATAGCTGAAAAGAGTCACATAGTTCTGACTGGTCTTCAGGGCGCATCCATCTTGATAGTGGATCTTCTGACTATTCCCCTGGGGATAACAGCTTGAAGGCAAGGTTTCCCGGCCGATGACCACATAGTCATCGGGGCTATCACGTCCACAACACTCATACTAAACAGATGAGGATTATTCGGGGTAAAAAATTTGTTGATCAAAAATTGTTGAGTGGGGGTTATTTGGTGTTTTCGTTCACATAACAAAGAATACAACAAGAAACTGACAATTTTGAATTGCAAAAAATTTGTCTTTTTCGATTATTGTAATTTTTCCTATAGTGACTTTTGTTGACTTTTGTAATGTTTGAATGAATTAAGAATCACGTATGCTTTAGTATAATACCAACCAATTCCTGGTAAATGTCCATTGCACCAGGTTCCACCAGCTCCTCGTTCCATTTTATCTGAACCTCCTCTTTGGCGAACTTCTCAATGTATTCCTCACTAAACTTAAAGCCGAAAATGCCCAGCAAGCTTATTATCAGCTGGCTCAACAGTAGGAATCCGTACTGTGTCAATATTGGACACAAAAAGAGTAATATCAGTAAGTTAATAACGGAGAAGATTGGAAGAGACTTCAACTCACCGTTGCGGTCATGCACACGTTCTCCTGGCAGATTCCACAGCATCCAAGAATTGCCGAGACGAAGATAACGCCTCCCAGTCCATATAGGAATACGATGTAAGCAAGAGGGGCTTTCGAGAGGGCAAGCGTAGCAATGGCTATCAGCAATAGACCCGAAAGCTAAATAAGGATCATAAGGTTTATCAGCGACCATTTAGATTATATTTCGGCAACGATGTCGCTAAATAATGTCATTGACTCTGGTCAAGTTTTATATTATTTTAGTAAATAACCAAAATATCAGAGAATTTTTAAAAATGTAAGTTGATAAATAGCTTTATAGATAAAAGTTCACCTTAGCATAGGCAATATCATTTTTAACAACGGGGTGTTGCATTCTACACGAACCTTACGAACCTTACTTTATTAAAAAGCTAAATCAAGTCCTAAAACAAAGAAAAATTATAATATAATCTTTAAACAAGTTTTGGATAATGAGATCTCATTTAACATTCGGTTGTATTATAATGTAAATTTGATACAATTTTGCAAGCATATGGCATAGTCGTAAAGCATTTTATAGACCAAACAAATTGAAATAAAGGATGAAACACATTGGGGCTAGTCATTGAAGAGCACCAAATGTTTTCCCATGGCTCACAAACAAAAAATATATATTTTGAAATTTTTTATCTAAACAACTTTTCAGTTTCGTGAAACCGGAATGTGAGCTCCCTTGTCAAACCTGCGAATATGTATAAATTAATTTTTTTTTTGGAAATATATAAAGAATTAACGTTTATGATTGCTAATCAAAGCTTGTATGTCAAAAAAATGTACAAAAATATACTTTCTACTTACGTATACTATAAAATCATGTCAAGTATATTAATCTATTAAAATATACGCAAGAACTTACCGCATTCAGAGTATTGAGGGTGTTGAGAAAACACTTAACGCAACCAGTAGTGCAACCCATGTTCAGCCAGCGGATAAGCTTTTCTTAGGTTTGGAAAATACCTTAACTGACCAACTGAAAAACACAATGATTAGAATCTGTTGGAAGAACGAAGCAGCCTGGACGGACTTCAGAAAGGCAATGAATGCTCAATTCAAATAATCGCCGGCAGCGCACGATTGGCGCTCTTCATTATTCCTCCTCAATTAAAAGGGTATATTGTGTTCGTTGGAAAGCAGAATACCAGTAAAGGAAAGCTTTTCCCCATAAAGTATATATATTCTAGCCAAGTCCGTTTCCACGCCTATTATAACGCCCAAAATTTTCAGAATTTGATTGTGGGATGGATAAAAAAAAATTTGTTGAGTACAAAAATTACATATACGTTTTTATCCGAGTGGGGGGTCTATCCCCATATCCCTCCGTGTTGAACTGTTATGCATTTATTTTGTCAAAACTTCAAGTCAGTTATACTTTAGTCAGTGAAATCTCTGTCAGTTGTAGCGCCCTTTGAAGGCATATTTATTTTTGAACTGCTTAACAGATTAACGGGTACCTGGTAGTCGACACTGTTGACTACATCCTTCTCTTTAGATTTAAAATCTTCTCTCTTCGTCAATGCTGCCAAACAATAAAGATGAATACGAAAGCGGGGAACTCGTTTAGACTATGGAATTTATTTATCATTTCTTTTATTTATTATTTCCATAATTTCCTAATGGCAAAACGGATAAGTTGGTTAAATTTGATTATCCATAATTATGCTGGGATGTCCTCGGCCATCAGTCGTTGATGGGAGTTTCCTCGTCCTTTATCTTGGTTTTGGCATGCTTGCGTACCCAAATAGTAAGCAGTGAACAAGCCCAAAAACTGCAATTTAAATAAATATAATTTCATATCATATTCGATGCGGAATTTAAATAAGGATACCCTAAATCCCTACTTCTGAATTTAAGCAAACTTAAATTAATTTATTAATTAAATTTTTCGTTTCAGTTACTTACAGAAGTAGGCGCTGTTTCTTGATTTTAAACCTGACATTCAAAAATATATATATAGATATAAGGTTCTTGTATGACTACGCCGTTAAAATAAATAAATCGTACAAACAACAATATTTGGTTGGTAAATTGGACCGACATTTTAATGGTTGAATGCTTTTTTGTTTGTGCTTCGCTTACTATTTAGTAGTTAAATCCTAAATCAGTCCTTAGTAGCTGTAGCGAATGCGCTGCTTGCGGAATCGTCTGACCAAATAAAAGGCACCAATCACCATGGGAACCTGTGGAAAAACAAATTGATCAGATCCCTTCAGTATATAACCACTGTTACATTGAACTTACAGTTGTAGCCACTGCAATCCAGTTAAGGCCCTTTGCAACGCTGAAAAGACCCACAAAGATCTTACTGGTCTTCAGGGCGCATCCGTCTTGATAGTGGATCTCCTGGGTGTTCCACTGGGGATAACAGCTTGAAGGTAAGGTTTCCCGACCAATGTCCACATAGTCATCGGGGCTATCACGTCCACAACACGAATACTAAACGGATGGGGGTTATTCGGGGTAAAAAATTTGTTGAGAAAAATTGTGGAATGACAATTTTCTATTGGAAATATAACCTTTAACGATTATTGCAATTTTTCCTATTATGATAGACTTTTGTAATGTTTGAACGAGCCTTAAATCACATATGCTTTAGTATAATACTAACCAATTCCTGGTAAAAGTCCATTGCACCAGGTTCGACCAGCTCCTCGTTCCATGTTATCTGGACCTTCTCTTTGACGAACTTCAGAATGTATTCCTTACGGAATTTGAAGCCGAAAAAGCTTATTATCAGCTGGCCCAACAGCAAGAATCCATACTGTGTCGATATTGGACACAAAAAGAGTAATATCAGTAAGTTAATAACGGAGAAGATTGTAAGAGACTTCAACTCACCGTTGCGGTTATGCACACGTTCTCCAGGCAGATTCCACAGCATCCCAGAATTGCGGAGACGAAGATAATGCCGCCCAGTCCATATAGGAATACGATGTAAGCAAGAGGGTCTTCCAAGAGGGCAAGTGTAGCAATGGCTATCAGCAATAGTCCCGAAAGCTATAGAAGGATCAAAAGGTTCATCGGCGACCATTTAGATTATCTTTCGGCAACGCCATCGCTAAATAATGTCATTGACTCTGGTCAAGTTTTAAATTATTTCAGTAAATTATCAAAATATCAGAGAATATTTTAATAATGGAAAATGATAAATGGTAAATCATTAGGCAATATCATTTTTAGCATCGGGGTGTGGTGTTGTGTTTTAAACCAAATATAATTGTAATGAACAAAGCAAAATATCAATATAAGCTTTAAACAAGTTTTGAATAATAAGATCTCATTTAACATACTTTTGTATTCTAATGTAAATGTGATACAATTTTGCAAGCACATGGCATATTCGTAAAGCATTTTTTGGACCAAACAAATTGAAATAAAGGATGAAACAAATTGTGGGTAGTCATGGAAGAGCACCAAATGTTTTTCCATGGCTCACAAACCAAAAATATATATTTTATATCTAAGCAACTTTTCAGTATCATGAAAGAGGAATGTGAGCTTCCTTGTCAAACCTGCGTATATGTTCACAGAAAAAATAAAATACCAAATCTGGTCATCAATCGGGTATTTTTTCATATCAATTTAGGTTCCTTCGAACATATAAATAGGGTATTTTTAATAATTGATTGATATGCGCAAATATCAAATTTTTGACAAACTATGGTTTTTTTTAATACCGGTACGATGCTTTTTAATATCAAACTGATATGCTTTCATGTCAAACTAATGTACTTTCATGTTTTTTAATATCAAACTGATATGCTTTTATATCAAACTAATATACTTTCATATCAGACTGATATTCTTTCATATTAATTTGTAATTTTTCATATCATATTTGTAAAATCAATATTAACCAGTTTTGTTTTACTTTTCCTCTTTTTCAAAATGAATATTTAAACCTCTTTAAATTTGCTTATTTTATTTTATTTATTTATTTTACTTTATTTACTTTATTTACTTTTATTTTACTTTTTTACTTATTTTCAATATATTCCGGGTCAATTGCAAACATATATCGGGAGCAATGTATGGCCAATCACTCTGAACTCTGACCACAAGTGCAAGTTCATTAGTCTAGTTGTTATACACCTCATTTGTTAAAATCGAATGCTCCGTTCAAAAGTTATACGCAAAACTAGATTTTGGCGCACTCCGCAAAATAAAAGTTTTATTTTGCTTGTCAGTTTGTCCCATAACATTATTTTAGGATCCTGAAAAATCTAGACGATGTTAAACAGCTTATTATAAGAAACTAGTTCTAGTAAAAAACCCGCTAGTTTGGAGGAAAACAGCTATAAATAGCTAAGTTTTGTACACCCGTAACTTGTGAACTATTAAAGCGACAGGCTTGGGCTATGTGTCGTAAAAGAGGTATTTCGAAATACTTTGAACGTCTTACTAATATGATTTGTCTAAATACCACCGTTGTGGGCAAAAGTTGTTTTATTCACATTTTTTGAGCTTTTTTTTTTTGATTTCTCAAAAACGGCTCTCACGATTTTGGGTTTATCCTCAAATTGTGTAGCCCTTGAGATTCCTAAACTTTTGATATAAGACACGTTGAAAAAAGTTACGTTTTAAAGTTGTTGTTCTACAAAAATTGACACATTTAACAGTTCAGAACATCTAACGTTGCCTGAGCATTCCAGGAAGTTTAAATATAAACTTAATATAAGAATCTTTAGTTATACCACATTTGGAAAAACTCGCTAGTTCGGCGGGAAAACTGCTATAAATAGTTAAATTTCGTAAGCCCGTAACTTGTGAACAACTAACGCTACAGGCTTGTGCTATATGTGGTTAAAAAGGTATTTTGAAAAACTTTGTACGCCTCTCTAACACGATTTGTCTATTATCGCATTGAATTGCAGCGGTCCGAATGTAAAAAATTTAGAAAGTGTATTAACTAAGTAGATCGTATTATACATTTTCGTCACAAATGATAATATTATAACTTTTATTAGCTTAATGTGAGTTCGTCACTAGATTTATACCTCATTAAGGGGTGTTTTTGTTTAATACTAAATACCATAAATACACAAAAAATACGAAGGCACAGTCATACCTTTTTTTGAAGACTTTTCGATGTTTCGTTTGGTATGATTATTATCAAATTGATACAAATTCATATCAGTGAAATACGAATTCATAGCAATATGATACAAAATCATATCAATTACAAATGTTGATATAAATCCGTATCATATTGATATGAATTCGTATTAATTTTATATGAAAAAAGCGATATATGAAAATGGAGGAAACAATATCCAAAAGAGTATTGTTCCGTTTTTTTTTCTCTGTGTATAAATATAAATTTCTTTGAATATATATAAAAACAAAAATATACTTTTTACTTATACGTATATGTCACGTATTAATCTATTAAAAAATATTCAGGAACTTACCGCATTCAGAGTACTGAGGGTGATGAGAAAACACTTAACGCAACCAGTAGAGCACCCCATATTCAGCCAGCGGATAAGCTTTACTTAGGTTTGGAAAATAATTTAACTGAACAACAACAAAAAACAAAGATTATAATCTTTCGGAAAAACGATGCAGCCTGAACGGACTTCAGAAAGGAAATGAATGTTCAATTCAAATGATCGCCGGCGGCGCACGATTGGCGCTCTTCATTATACCTCCTTCTCATAAATTAAAAGGGTATATTGTATTCGTTGAAAAGTAGGATACCAGTAAAAGAAAGTGTTGCGTAGAAAAATAATGTTGAATAAAATACATTTTACATATACTTTTTTACCCGAGTGGGGGGTCTACACCCATATCCCCCCTCTATTCGCCCATGCTAAGAACTGATATGCTTTTATTTTGTCAAAACTTCAAGACAATCAAACTTCAGTCAGCAAGGCCACGGTCGGTTGTAGCGCCTTAACAGATTAACGGGTATCTGATAGCCGAGACTGTTGACTACATCCGCCTCTTTAGATTTCAGATATTCTCTCTTTGATAATGCTGCCAAAAGCAATAAAGGTATATACAAAAGCGGGGAACTCGTTTAGACTATGGAAAGTATTTATTTTCTAATGGCAAATCGGCTAAGTTGGTTAACTTTTATTATCAATAATTATGCTGGGATGTCCTCGGCCATCAGTCGTTGATGGGGGTTTCCTCGTCCTTTATCTTGGTTTTGGCATGCTTGCGAGCCTTGCCCAAATAGTAAGCAGTGAACAAGCCCAAAAACTGAAATTCAAATAGATATAATTCATTAAAATATTCGATGTGGAATTTAAATAAGGATACCCTACATTCCTTCGTATGAATTTAACTTAACTTAAGTTAAATTATAATAAATAATGTAATCTTTTTTATTTCCGTTACTTAAGGAACTAGGCGCTATTTCTTGGTTTTAAATCTGACATTCAAAATTATATATTTTGAGGTATATTAGATGGATGTATGACTACGACATAAAAGTAAATAAAGTAAAACATTTGAATAATCGTACAAACACCAAAATTTGGTTGAAATATAGAATATGAAATATGAAATATAAAATGTATAGAAATAAATAGTTTAGTAACTACACAAAATTGTAGTTTACTATTTTAAATGGTTTTGTGTTTTTTTTTTTTGTGCTTTGCTTACTATTTAATGGTTAAGCCACTATTAACATAGTTCACGTGATGTGCGTATTTTGTTAAATCAAAAAAAATTGTTATTTAACTACTAAAAGTAATAACCAAAAGTAAACAATAACTTTACAAATGTTCTCCAATGCATTGCAATGCGTTGTTTGTAATTCCTTACTGGGTCTATCGCGTAGTACCTCCACAACCTCAAGCCAAACTCTGAAAAGTTAAGACTTCACTTGAAACTTATATTCCCTAAGGTCTTCAACATACTTCCACACAACCTGGAAGTCACTTTTAAAAACTGAAATTTGAAAATTACCTTTATCATAATGTTTATGAATTAATTCAATAATTTTATACTTTTGTAGGTATATACTTATTATAATAAAATTTAAAAAACTAAATTTTATGGGTTGGATACCTATAAAAATAGTTATTCAACTAATATCCATAAGTTGGGTACATTCTACCCTTTCCTATAGTTATAACTATTTTTTATAGTAACTTTTACGTTTACGCATAGGTAAGAGTAACTATGTGATGGGCAATATTGAAAATTCGATGGTTGGGGACCGTTTTACCATTATATTTATGCTCTCTTCTGGGTACCTTAAAACAAGTTAGATTACACTATAAATTATGATTAGGGCTCACCTCGAGGCCAATGATTGCCATGCAGCTGAAGTAGTTGAGTTCCGCCTGCATCCTCAAGTTGCCGGTTGCCTTGGTGGAGCAGCCCTCCTCGTAGACGTGCGCCGGTTTGGAGCAGTCGAAGGCGTAGCAGCAGCTGCTGGGCAGGGCTCCGTGCTCCTCCTGGAGGTAGTCCTGCGGTCCCTCCAGGCCGCAGCAGCCGAAGAGAGTGTGCACCGGCTGCATCCTGTCGTCGCTGTGCGTCTTCCGGTCAAACAGGTCGCGCATGCGCTCCGCAAACCTGCCCATCAGCTCCTCCCGCATCGCCGTGAAGGCGAAAAGGTACGAACCCAGCGCGGCTATTACCAGACCACTGAAAATCAAGTACTAAAGAAAAGACAACCTTTCAAGATGTTTCGAGAGGGAGCGAGGAGGTACTCACGTATAGGGAATACTTATAGGACTCCTTCAGGGCCACGTACATGCCCAGGAAGGCGACTCCGAAGACTGCCACCCCGCAAAGGGCCGTTCCATAGCTGCCGTAGGGCGAGACCGCCGAACCCCAGGTGACCACGCCGCAGGAAAAGAAGAACACGTTACACGTCTAGGAGTTTAAAACAAACAAAAATAATTAGTAGCTCTGTTTAAAGGCAAAGCTTTAAAGTTTAGGGGTTAGCAAAATCCCGCAGAACGCTTTTATATTTGTTATTCAAACCCCAGTCGTGACAAAAAGCCTAGAAATTTTTGAAATAGAATATTAAAACGGTTGTGATAATAATATGTAATTATAATTAAACATATGTTAGATCTTCAAATTCCGGAAATTATTTGTACTACACAAGAATTTTGTAACACGAAAGTGATTAGATGATATTTTGCCCTTAGAAATATTTATGAAGAGAGGATATACATATATATATTTCGGGCTTTTCCAATTTATTAGATTCTGTTTTAAGCCTAGAATCTTTGTCCATAGACTGGAGCGCATTTCATTAAATCCAATATTGTATTTTTAGGAGCGGAATACACATTTGAATTACTCATATTATGTACACTTGGCAGTTTAATAAGATTGAGAATAGTTTTCCCTATTATGAGTAATATAGCTACTTATACACTTATGCAATGTTTAAAAATTTAAAAAATTATTGCTTCCAATTGTGTTATGTTATTAAGTCAAACTGTGCCATTCGTAGACAATAGCCAATGGAACATTCAGGTGATGCGAAATTAATTTACCAAATAATAAACAATTTTAATTGACGTAAGCCCAACGCCAGAATTGTGAAAGTGGCAATTGTAAACAGCTGGCCGGCGGAATTATGTAAATTTGCGAACAGGTATTATTTATAAATATATTTAAGATTGCATCGATTTGTTTATAGTCTTTAGCGGCCTTTTGGCAATGATATGTGCTCTCTTGGGAAAGATTTCTCACATGAGCTGAGCACAATATTGATTTTTCTGCTGATTTTCGCATCACCGGGTGTTGTGCAAGATTCTCATTTGGGTCAGGCCAGGCCGCGGGACATGGGGAAAGGTCGGGGTCGGGGTCGTGGAATTGGAATTGGAATGGGCAAATGCGCATCTATTTTTACTTACCACAATAAGAATGCAAGTGGCCAGTAGGCCGTATTTCCAGGGCGTTATGGCGAACGACTTCTCCATGCTGCCAACTGTGAACTAACAGGATTGTTAGATGTTACCCGTGAGTCCCCTCGACAGTAATGTTTCCTACGTGCTTTTGCACACAATTCCCTGGATGACGATAAAACGGAGTCGTAAACCTCGGGGGGTCTGGTAATTCCCTCGACTTACACTATGCCACTGGATTGGGGTTGGGCATTGTTTACTTGCGTACTAGTAGCACACTCGACTCGCAGCCTGAAGCCCTCTCTGGATTGGGGCTCGTGTTGATGCCACAAAAGCTGGCCTGCGACTGAGCCAAAAAGTGAGTGCGCCAGGTGCCGCAAACACTCGTCAGATACTCACCACCGACCAAAGTAGAGAACCCAGTGGAACCAAAACAAACAGCGAACTATCATCAACGTGGTGACAATGACGCAGGCGCATTTTCGAGCTAGAATACAGGGTGTCTTTATGTACAGCTGGAGGTATAAAATATGGTTGAATTCAATAACGCCCAGTGAAATAACGCCCATTTTGTCTAATCTTGCATTTTTAAAATAACTATTATCAAACACTTTAAAATTAGAGACGCTGAACTCAGGTTCGATATAAAAATGCCAGACAGAAGATTGAAGCAGACATTCACTTAGGCATTTTTGTAAAATGAACAGGTAACATATTATTACTTTCTTGTTTTGGATCCTAGCTAATCTGAGATATAGTAATTTGTTTCTTGTTTTACATTTACGGTTTAAATTGTATTTTAAATACTTGCTTTCATGGGTTTAAAATCAGTCATCAACCTAAGTCATCAATCCACCAAAAATCCCCTTTATCCGTTCAGTCGATAGCAATTAGCGTTTCAAATATTTTAAACTAGAGCTCATTTTCGTCATGGATTAGATCAACAACTGGTTAATGTTGAATTCAAATAAATCACTTGTTCAGTTACAATACAATGGCTAAATTTGTAGGACAACTTTTTGGACTGTTTCTGTGCTTGCATTGTGTGACAGAGCTCCACGTAAGTTTGTAAGTTTGGTATGATGATGATTCAGGATAATCCGTTTTACAGGGACTCTTCATGAAGTTCACCAATGTGACCTGCGAGAGCAAGGATCTCAACATGGGCACTGTGGAGTACTGCGAGTTGAAAACACTTGGCAAAAATAAAAACAGTGTAAGACTGCGCTACAGTATGCTCAAGCCAGTATTTGGCAATATAGGGGTAACTAATTAACCAAGAATATATTATAATTTGCCCTTATACTATTCCTTTACAGTTTCATTTTCAGCTTATGACGAAGGGTAGTGATAAACTCGATGGATCTTCAAATTGGCAGCCCTTTCTCTATGCAATGAACCTTGATTTGTGTCGATTTTGGAAGAACCGCCAAAATTACTTGGCCAGGATGGTGTTTGTACTTATAGAAGGTCATTCGAATCTGAACCACAGCTGCCCCTATTCGGTCAGTTGAGCAAATCCAATTCATAGCTAATGGGCGATTTTCAAGTAATATTTATTTTTAGAAAGAAAAATACATTGCTATAGATGGCATTACCAATACTGACGTTTCTAACCAGATCCGTGGAATGCCTTTGGCCAAGGGTTTCTACGCATTGTTCACAAAGTGGTCAACAGACAACATTACACGAGTTCTGACCAACTTTTACTTTGAAGTTTTGAGTGTTTGAAAAATAAGTAAATAGAATTTGTACCCTGTATGTATTTTTGATTAAACTAAATGAACTATATTCTCTATATTCCAAAAATGGGAAAACAACTTTTGTTATGAAAATAAAATCCAACGAGCTAATATTTTCTCCATACTAATTATTTAGTCCCGTGGAGTTGGCTGCTATTGATTGTATATGTCAATACTTATGTACACATTTTTAAGGATCTAGCTTCTGGTCAGATATATAATTTATATTGTTATTAATGTACCTAATATTCGCAGTAAGTTGTGAAAAAATCTTTAGAGTTTTACTTATTAGTAAACAGAAGTTTAAAATTTCAGAAATTTAACATTTGATTAGAAAACGACTTTAAATATATTATTTATAATACTTAGATGACTTAGATAACGCATTACATCCAGACGGCATTATTGCGTCGGCTCTGATTCTTAACACTGCTGTAGAGCAGCCAACCGAAAACAGCTCCCACAGTCTAAAAAAAAGAGGAAACGCGTATTAATTAAATCCATAAAAGGGAAAGTGATCTAACAACCAACCTCTCCGATGACAAGCAACCAGCAGACGATTTTGAACACCAGTAACTTATCGTCCAAATACTTGACAAATTCGGCTTTACAGCCGGGCTTATAAACCCTGTCCTTTGAGTCCAAACACTTGTTGTCCAGACAGCAACTAGACGGTATGCCATGATGGATGATCCAGTAGTCCTCGGAACTGTTCACTCCGCAGCACTGCAGCCAGCTCTCGTAGTATCCCAGGGCACCGGTCTGGTTGCGTTCCGCCTCCCAGAGGCGATCGAAGCCCTCGTTGATGCTTCCCGAGATTCCGTCCTTGGTGCCGAGGGAGGCCATGCTGAGGAACAGCAGTTGGGAGAGGATCAGGAGCACCACCGCACCCACGTACTGGTAAGAAGATGGTAAAAGATCAATAAAATCATCCAAGAATTTGGGCTTACAGTCCCAATAATAATTCAACATTTTCAATATACATATCTTACTGCCTTTTACACACAGAAATAATATAAGTTAGAAATGGAACACACTTATTAAAAACAAATATGTTAAAATGTTGTGCATTTTTTCTTTTACGTACCGATAAATACACTGGTCGGCATATGTATTTTGACAAAATAAAAGTTAAGTATACTCATAACTTGAATTTACTTCTTGTAAACTATAGGCATCAATGGAAAGGTAATTTCAATGCCGTTTGAATGATACAATACATTTCTTTACCCATTCAGTACTTATTGAAAAGGACGAATTTGTGTAAATCAACTTTGAAATTTAAAAAAAAAACTTTTTTCCTCGTCTTGAAAACTTAAATTTTTTGATGCAAAAAGTTTCTTCAAACAAAAACAATAGTAACTGCAAAAAGAATTTTTCAAAAATCATTTTTCTTATATTTTTTATGAATTTTTGAAAATGCTTAAAAACAGGCATTTGAGCCATATTTTTGTCTTTTTCATACAAATTTTTTCCGACATTGTCACCTTCAAAAAATCATAAAAAATATAAGCAAAATGATATTTGAAAAATTCTTTTTGCAGTTACTATTATTTTTGTTTGAAGAAACTTTTTGCATCAAAAAATTTAAGTTTTCAAGATGAGGAAAAAAGTTTTTTTTTAAAATTTCAAAGTTGATTTACACAAATTCGTCCTTTTCAATAAGTACTGAATGGGTAAAGAAATGTATTGTATCATTCAAACGGCATTGAAATTACCTTTCCATTGATGCCTATAGTTTACAAGAAGTAAATTCAAGTTATGAGTATACTTAACTTTTATTTTGTCAAAATACATATGCCGACCAGTGTATATAAATTTAAACAAATAAAAATCTATTACAATAGTATATTTATATTTATAGCTATTTAAAGAGGTAATTATACATTTAACGATTTTGAAATGGTTTAAAGAAAACGAGCTTACCTAAAAAACGTTTCTATAATTATGGGGTTATTTAATTACACCCTGTGTTTTAAATGGTGTATTTGTTTTAACATTTAAATGAGAGTCCAAGAAAGATTAGTCACCCAAAATTTTGATAAGAAATATATAAGTTATATATACATATATGTACATATATATGGTTTATATATAATTTTTTTATATGGCATTAAACAACATTTTGGGATATAAGTTACTGAAAAGCAATATTTTTAATGACCCTAAAGGTCGGCGGAATAGTACTAAGGAATAGTACAATGTCTTTAAAATGTTTTTATATGTATAAAGAATAAGTACACTTCCTTTTTGGTGAAAATAAGTAATTAGTTAGCTACTTACAATAAGCAGTCTGACAGGAGCCTCGTGGATGGCGGCCAGGCAGCCGAAGATCGCAATGATCAGGATGACAACGCCCAGGCCAATGATCAGGCCACCGGCCACATTTTCACCAATGCTGACTGCATTCTCGGCGGCGGAGATCAAAAAGTAAATTCCGAAGGCGATCAGCGCCAGACCGAGCACCTGTGGAAATCACAGCGCGTGAGGCTGGCATATATTATGTACCCCCAGGTGGGCTACTCACGGAAAACACGAAGTTGAGCAAGAGCAGCACATGCTTCACTGTAGTGGCGCCCAGACCCATGATTACTGTGGATCGAACCGAAGATGCGACTGGAGACCGACTGTCGAAATCAACGAAGGCGAGCAGAATGCATCAGAGGCGGAACGTACACACATATATGGCTATATGGCCAGCAGCCAGTTTCAGATACGTATCCCTCGGATATGGCCGAGCGAGTAAAATCTTTTAAAAGTCTGACCGCCTTGTTTCAGCTGTGCGAATCAACTGCCACTGATGAGAGATCGAAACCGAAACAGTGTGTTTTGTTTTGACTAAAACAACGATCGACTCACCGCTCGCACATTCTATCTATAAATCGGTGAGTGAAAATCGAGAGCGTAGAATCGCCCACTTGTGCGAGCTTTTCTTGTTTATACCCCAACGAATACCGAATACGAATCCCCACTCATTTCAATTTTCTGCTGGCCAACGATTTCTTGTAAAAGTTTTGTCAATGGCAACGGGTTTTTATTTATTTTCGTTTCGAACTATTTGTAGGCGTGGGTGCCAGTTTACAGTTTTATGAATGAATACTTGGTATCTTTAGTACTAACTTGATTAATCATCGTACATTACAATCACAATTCGCCAGGGCTCTATGGCTAGGAAATTACTCACAACGAATAACGATAATACAGTTCGTGCAAAACACCTAAAACTAAATTAATTATAGAATCGTATGCGGTCGCGATGATTGCGAATGCTGTCTACTAGGTAGCAGGTGGTCACCGAGCCGGCAAACTGTAATTACAATAAAGTATTATATTAAACATTAATTGTGGAGATGGAAAGATTAAGTCAATTAAGTGTTGGAAGTATTCAGCTTTCAATAGGGCCATGACCTCAAGGGTCAAGAATGTGAAATACAAACAATATACACAATCAAAAATGGAATTTTTAAGAAACGAAAACCGAGCTCTTAAAATTCCAGGAAGACATGTTATAGTTTAACATAAAATATTTATGGGGTCCAACATACTGTATAACGATTGAGCCTTAAGATTAGGACAACTAATTTATTAAATGATGGTGATGGATTTCTGAATCATCTCAAATTATAAACTGAGAAACTTACCTCAAAGAGTATAAGGAACCAACTTAGGGTGTGGAAGTTTGCGGTCTTTCCGCTGACATACTCCTTGAATTTGTTTTCGCACCCGTCCATAAAGAGACCCAAGATATTCGAGCAGTCCTGATCGAGACAACAGCTCGGGGGAGGCATCTTGTCCAGGTGGAGATAGTCCTCGGCACTGTTTCGACCGCAGCAGTGTAGCTACAGATATATTGATTTCTTTAGACTTAGATATCAAGGAAATCATAGTTCTACCAACTTACCCACTCCTCGTAAGTGTTTAGAGTGCTATTGCCATCATGCTGCAAATCCCACAGTTCATCGAAACCCTGTCTCAAAGAATCCGGAAGAGACTCTCGACTGGCGGCATAACTTATGCTGACCATCACAAACTGAACAATTAGTAGTAGGACCAACAAAACTGCATACTAGAAATTGAAATTAAAATTAGATTAGATTAAAATTATAAAATACAAAACAACACTATAAACAGTTTCTTAATATTCTTCATAGATAGCCTTACTTGTTAACCTTTGATTTTAGGATAGAAAATCTGGATAACTCACACAGATCAACAGGGTCTTGGAGTCCTTAGACATGGCCACGGAGCCAAAGATGCTGGCCACTATGATGACGGTGCCCAGGAGGATGCAGAGCACGGCGGCCAGACCCTCGCCGTGATCCAGTCCCATTATTTTCTGCTCTTCGGAAAGGCTCTCCAGCAGCCAGGCGCCATACCAAATGAGCAGGCAGCCACCTAGCTAAACAAAGGCCATAATCCCTTTCAATGTCAGCACATTTGTGATTTATTTTAGGCACTTACGGCACAAATGCCACTGATGACACACAGAACGTATTTGAGCAGTCGGGTGCTGCAGTACATGACGCCGCTTTGTTGCTTTCGGTTTTCCGATTTTCAAAATTTTCACAAGAGTTTTTCCGCTGGGCACGAGCACACCTTGAGCAGTGCCATCAAACCATCGACTAAAGTCGCATAATCTCCATTTGTTTGTCTGGGGCTACTCAGGGAACTGTCGTTGGGAAACGATTCGGATTCTGTCGCCATCCGGTCCGGTCCGATCGGATCCGTTGGCCAGATGCAGTGGCCAAAGAATACACAGAGCAGAATAAATACTATGGGGGAAATCAAAAGCCGGGCACGGGCCACAAAACAAAAACATATAGACTAGGCCCGCCCACGCGATCTTCAAATATGAGACAGCATGTGTCCACCCTCACCTTCTTTTGGCCGCCACTCCCCTCGCCTCATTACCATAGAAATGATGTCAACAGATCTTACGATTTCCGTGCCCCCAAAAACACTTATCGATCTACGAACAATTCTTTATTTTGGTTTGGCTTCTCGAAATGCGGTTA